TGTCCCACACATGTATTCACGTGCTTGTTTCTATAACTTCTTCCTAATTAGTACATATTGACCTGCCGTTCCGTATTTGTATCTCACGCCACTTTTTGGGGTGCTGCCATTCTTTTAAAAAATATTTCTTTTTTTGCAAATAATAGTATTGTTTGCAAAAAAGTTTACATAGTTCACCAAGTCGATTTTGATGCTCTAACCACCATTAGATGCATCCTGACAAGCTCTACAAAAGTCTCTTAAGTTAGAAAAGTGATTAACTTAGTATAAAAAAAAAGTTTTAGATCACACATACCATATTTGGAAACCTCCAATTTTTATAAGTAATTTGAGTCACTTTTTACTATGAACATTTTCTGATTGACTGGTGGATTATCAATTTAAAAAAATTTGCCTCTTTTCTATTGACTTTACTTCAAATAGTCATCACATTTGGTTAATCTTATTAAAAACTTTCAGATTTAGCATCTAGTCATGTTTGTTGAAACTTATACAAAAGGCCTAGTTTGCTAGTATTTTGTTTATTCCAGATATGTGTTGAACTCTTAGTAAGATGTTTTTTTGAAAATATTTTTTCAGATTTGTTTTGCTATAGTGCTAATTTCTGAAAAAATCATATCTTTCTAGTAGTTGATATATACTACACAGATTGTATTGTTCATTTTCAACAGTATTGATTTGTTTGACAGGTTTCTAAATAATATTAATGCAAACTGTATTGCTTTTATTTTCAAAACATCAATATGTAACCTCTTCTCTCAGCATTGGTTTATAGACTGTTTATCAATTATCTATCTTAACTTATACCCCAGCCAATTTGAGATATGTTGGTATATATTACTACTAACAGGGTATTTGTTATTAGAAATTATTTATTCTAATTGTTTAAATGTTCTGCTTATTACTTTAGTTGTTCTACTACTTTTTTGATATTTTTAAATACATATTTACCTCTGAACTTTATTGTATTGTTTTTTAATCTTATTATTTTTCTTGTTTTCAATCTGGCAAAAAGTATTGCATTTATTGTAACTAATCAGAGATGCCAATTTCCTAATCTTTATTATACTTTTTGTAGTACACTTAAGTATTTTTTTTTTAGATACTTGATTTTTGCTCTTGAAAATGATAATAATATTCTTCTTGAATTTAGTCTGAAATTTAAATAATTTATAGCTTATAATGGTATGAGTTGGCTTTTTTGTATATTTATTATAAACTCTAGATTTTTCAATGTCTTTATAGTTCTGTGTAGATGTAATACTATCTGTTCTTTCTTCTGAGCTATTATCAATAGATTATTCAAATACACTATAATTTTGATTTTTTGTGATCTTAGATGTTTTAAAATTAAATATATTATCTTCATGAATATATAATAATCTAAAAAATAGATATTTAAAGCAATATTTTTGCTCCAAAAAATCGAATACAAAATATTTTTTAGCTAATGAATATAAAAGAATATAAAAAAACATATTTTTTATATTAACTAATATAGTCTTCCTCCTATATCATCGGGAGAAATTTTTAGTGCTATTCTGTGCAGATTTGCAAAAAAATTAAATAATAAATTAAATGAAAATCTGTGCAAAACTTCAGACTTACTAGCTATAACCACAGAAATTAAAATACAGTTCTGCACAAAATTTCAAAATATAAAAAATTTTGCAGTTTTTTGCAAAAAATTTGCATTTTTGCAGGTTTTTGCATTTTTGCACTTATTTAATTTTTCCGATGATAGTTACCTCCTATATAATTACATTATAGTAAAACCCTTTTTATAATCACACCAAGGCCTGAGACACTTTACTAATAAACTATAAAAAAATACTTCTTTATAAGCATATCATAGTAAAAACCTTTATACAATCACACAATTTGCATAATACAGACTGCGTGATTATAGAGGAGAAAGACTGTACTATAAATCATTTTTTTAATTAAGTGGTTTATAGTAAGAATTAATTCCATCTTGAAGTGCTTGTATTTTATGAATAAGTTTAGTAATCTTAGATCTAGTATAGTGCATTTTTTATATTTTTCTTGTCTAGGATAAATAAGTAACAAAAATTAAAAAAAACTTTTTAAAAATTTTGATAGTTTGAGTATATAATAAAGCTTGTGCTTTGGTCTTTGCTGTCTCTAGGTCTTGCAGAACTTTGCTAGAATATTTTAGTTAATGAAGGTTTCAAGTACCATTCTGGAGTATATTTATATAATATAATTAAGATAGGCCAAGAATTTTAAATATTTCTAATCAGTTTTGTTTAAATAACTTTAATCATTCAAGAATACAAGAGTTGGTTAAATACATAATATGTAATGGTTGTTCTGCTAAAAATTTCTTTGAAAAATTTTAGATTTTGTTCTAAATGATCTATTATATGTTTGATATTTTTCTTTCTGAGGATGGTTTTCAAAGGTTGTATTTCTTTGTAATATTCTTGTTGTATAAGTGCCAAGAATCTTTGTTGCTTCCTATTGGCATCATTGTAGAGTTTTGATTTGATATCTTTTTCTTCCACTATATCTTTAAGTTTGTCTTCAAACCCACCTTTTTTATTTCTAGAGGTAGTATGTGCTGGTGATATTGCCTTAAGAGCAATTTCCCTGTGATAGTTATTTGCATATGATAATGTATTATGTAGAAGTTCTCTTGTATTGTGATTTGATCTTCATAATAATTTATAACCAACTTTAGCTTTTGGGCTAGTTTTGAGTTGTAAAATATCCTTTTAATATTATCAATTGGTCATAAGATAGCAGAGGTGCAGTAAAAATGTTGCAAAAGATTTTGTTAAATTCTCACTATTGTTTTGACATTGCACATAAAAAATACTGTTCCATTTATGGTGGTTGGTAGTCAATTTCCACACATGGTTCACACAGAATCCTTTGATGGTCAGTTTTTGGCAAAGTGCAGTCTGAGTATATTTTAGTGGGTAAATCCTTGTGGGAAACCATGGTTTTGATTCATTGTAATTATAAATATCTTCCAATTCCTGTTCCACTATGGTTTCATAACTGTTTGGTTGTGATATTGTTTTGCTCGCTTGTCATTAGCTAAATAGTAATAAAAGAAGGTTTTACTAAGAGCGAGCGGTACCAAAATAAACCGGCCTAAGTTGCGATTTACTGTATGGTGGGGTTATATACGTAGAAACTTAACACTCTGTGTAACATTATAAAAATTTTACTGATTTGGTGATCTTATATACTATGAAGTTTATTTTAGCACATCTATATTTTTATTGGAATAGTAGATCACATGATAATACATCAAAATGTCAAGGTAAGACAACAAATTTAACATTGCTTTGCACTATTATACAAAATTTATACGTAAATTTAAGATCTAATTTAATAAGAATATTAAATAAATTTAAAATGAAAAGCAATGGAATAACGCAAATTAGGTTTATATATATGAGTTAATAGAACATCTATGTAACAATTTAATCTTCATCCATACGATCGCCACTTTGGTCATCGGCATTATCCTCTTCAGGGTTATTTCTTCGTTGCCTAGATACTTGATCTTGAATTGCACGAAGAAATGCTTCAACACCTGAAACCAGGAGTAAGATAATAAATTAATCAAAGCTTTAATACTTTTATTGAGTAACTGTGGATAAGAAATCATACCACTTCCTGCTGATGGATCAAGGCCTAATTGAGTAAGGAGAGGACCTAGCTGTCCTGATTGCAAAGCAACGCTTAAAGACTGTAATGCCTATAATTAAGAATAAAAATTTGTCATTATCAAACTTATTATCACGATAACGGCTAAAAATTATTGTGAGAGTTGAAGCTGAAATTTAGAATTTCGATTTAAACATATTAAATCTACCCCTAATGCAAAAAACCGCACCTCCCAAAAATTTTAAATTCCAAATTTCAGATTCAACCACCATAATTTATGAAAATAATCTACTTGAGCAAATTGTGGACTTTGGATAACTTCTCGTAATTCCTCAGGTGTTCTATTGATATCGCTAGGCAAATGTGGAAACAAAGCTGAAAGAATCAAATATGTTTGTGATTAATAAATTTAGAAATTTTAAATAAGAGGTATTAGTATGTTATACTACCAGACGCTACTTCAGGATTACTTAATAATGGGCTGATTTCAGAAGGTGTAAGAACGTCAATAAGATTCACATCTACATGAGGAAAAAATTTTAACATTTATAAGATTATTAAAAATATACTAATAATTAACTCTTACCAGATTGTTGGTTTACACCTTCTGTATTAAATAAAATATAAAAATTTATCAAAATTAACGCTAATTCAGGTGGAAATGATAATAATAAAAATTACTCACCGGGAACCTGTATTTCAGACAAAATATTTCGCAAACTGCCTAGCTGTTCAGGAGTAAGCATGTTCTCGGATGTTTGTGCACCAGTGCCAGCCTCTGATGTTGCAGCAGTGGCTGATTGTGGTTCACTAGCAGGTGTAGTAGATGTGATGGGCAAACTTCCACTTTAATAAAGGAAAGTTAATAAATTATGATAAAAGTTTGAGATAATACAGTATCAAAAAATCTTTTACCCGAAGGCACCATGACCTTGAAGCAATTGCAATAGCTGTTCCTGATCCACTTCAAATCCAGATAAATCATCCATTGCGCGGAAAGGACTACCCAATGGACCAGTACTACTGGTACCTTGTTGTCTACTTTCAGTCAATCCATTAAGTAATCTATTTACTTTATTAATATTTTCTTCATCTTTATCATCCTTCGCATCTTGCATCCAAAAGAATAATTTTTGAGATGATGATTTAAAATTGAGTAAACAAACTCGACCTGTGGTACATTGTTCTACACGAACAAATTCAGCTTCTTCAGGGAATACTATTAAATCCTATATTATGTAATAGTTAATATAAGGTTCAAATAACAAGCATACTATATTAATAAATAGCATACATCTTCTACGTTTCCAGTTTTTCTGTCTTTCCAGTAAAAATGCATCAATTGATCATCACCCTTTATAATTCATGAAATATGAAAAAAATTGGTTAAATCAATCGAACGTGGTATACTTATTGAGTAGAAATTAATATCAACCTGATCCATATAAATAAGACTTTAGTGGTTTCAGCATAAAAATTTAATATTATACTGTAATGGATAGAATAAAAACCATAAAGTTAAATATCATTCTTTACAACACACACCCTTTCCTATCGTCCGCTTTCAATAAGTTCGAAGTTCCTTCTCGCTTAAGTTTACCAGCTTTAAACTCCACAGGATACTTGCGTCGTGGAACTGGTGCAGGAAATAGTGAAGTCGACATTGGAGCAAATCTTTATATATCGATATAAGAAGGTATGAATAGCGATAATTGAATCATAACTTTTTTTTTTGGTATACAGTATATATATAACCATTACGTAAGATGGGTGGCTTAGAAATTCGGAGTAATTAGCTACATTTTATATTCACGGGATCAAATAGCAATCTCAACAAAGTCAATGATAGCATACGTTTGAATTCGAACTTGCCAACTGAGACCTATAGTTTGATAAATAAGAAGTTCTAAAGTCGCTAATAAGAGGTTGTGGTTATATGATCTTTTTAATGTTTAGGTAAAATATATCATAATAAAATGTGAAATCATATAACAGCTCTCGATTGATGCGATGTCAGAATCAATTAGGCCATGTAAAGTTAGTTAATTTGTTAAATTTTTTATAAAAAGTTTTTTGTTTTAATAACCGGGTAGGTTTTTAAAAAATTTTTTTTTGTTATATGTCTGACCGAGTCTATTTAAAAAGTTTCATGTTACGAGAATCAATACATAAATTAAATTGCGTGGACTTAGTTTGACTAAAAAATGATGTAGAAAATTAATGTAAAAATAATCAAGCGAGATCCTGTAATCTGCTAAACAGTTTTGATTTAGCAACAGTATTCTACTTAAACATCAATATTCTGATTGGACGAAATTATCAAAATGTATTTTTTCCCCCAACTTTGAGCGAAAATATCTTGACAATCACCTATCTAAAATCGATAAAAAATTTTTATTCTGATTCTATATACCCGTATAATTAAAATAAAAATTTTTTATTAATTTTAGATAGGTGATTGTCGAGATATCGTCTCTCAAAGTTTGAAAAACCTTGCTGCAACTCGTTTTGATAATTTTTTTCTAAACTTTGAGCTAAGATATTTTGACGGCCACCTATCTAAAATCAATGAAGTTTTTTTTATCCCGATTCCATATATCTGTATAATTAAAAATAAAAAAAAATTATTAATTTTAGATAGGTGGTTGTCGAGATGTCTTCGCTCAAAGTTTGGAAAACCTTGCCGCAGCTTCTGTTTTGATAGGTTTTGTTCTAAACTTTGAGAGAAGATCATGACAATCACTTATCCAAAATCAATGAAAATTTTTTTTTTCGATTTTATATATCTATATAATTAAAATAAAAAAAAAATTATTAATTTTAGATAGATGGCTGTCGAGATATCTTCAAATAACTACAGTATCAAGCTGCGACAAAGTTTTTTCCAAGCTTTGAGTGAAGATATCTCGACAACCATCTATCTAAAATTAATAATTTTATTTAACTATACAGGTATATAGAATCGGAATAAAAAAAATTTCATTGAAAGTTTAGGATAATTATCAAAACAGAAGTTGCGGCAAGGTTTTTCAAACTTTGAGCGATGATATCTCGGAAATCACCTATCTAAAATTAATAAAATTTTCTTTATTTTAATTATACGGGTATATAGAATCGAAATAAAAAAATTTTTTCGCTCAAAGAAATTACATTTTGATAATTAATTTCGTCCAATCAGAATGTTGATGAAGTAGAACCGACACTTTTTTTCGGCCACTGCCACTGGACCGTGAGAATTTTATCTTAAAATAATGCATGATGTCATTTTTTATATACGTTTTACTTTATGCAAATTTTACGTCCACTATTTCGTCGTTATACAATGGTTCAAAAACTAACTGAAGAAGAAATCAAGACGTTAGAAGCCAAATCATGGGAATTAGTTTCAGGACGTGACGCCGTAAAAAAAACTTTTAACTTTAAAGATTTTAATGAAGCCTTTGGGTTTATGACTAGAGTAGCTTTGAGAGCCGACAAAGTTAGTTTTATTTATTCGTTTCAAAGATAATAAATAAATGATTAATTTTTCTTTTTTTCTCAAAGGTTGATCACCATCCAGAATGGTTCAATGTAAGGATGATTTCTAAGTTTTTTTTTTCGATATTTAATCATGTTAACATACCCATGTTAGGTGTACAACCGGGTCGAAATTACTCTCACCACGCACGAATGCAATGGTCTTTCGAAACGTGATCTTGACCTTGCAGATTTCATTGAAAAAGTGTTTAAGACTTATTCCTGACGCAATAAAAATGCGCGAATTCATTTTTATATTTATTATTAACCGGCTTTTAACCGTTATAATCTTTCAACCAATTAATTTAGTATTTGAATATTGATCAGTCAATCGGTTAAAAATTAATCGGTTCCAATCTCTAAACATCCTTATTACCCCGAAGTGGGAAATAAATAGTAAATAAACTTGAAAGCCAAAGCCTCAATTTCTCTTGGCAACGTTCCCTACACATACAGTACAGATATACAATTCTAGTTCTTACTTCAATTGACAATAATGTCAATTTTTCAATCGCTAAATAAATTATCCGCATTGTCGCGAAATGGGGTTATTTAGAAATTGTGCTCCCCTAAAAACAGCATGCATGGTTTCAAAATAACGCCCATGAGTGTCCCGAAATGACGCGCGCTCCATATTACAGTATTAGGGTTTCAACAAATAACAGGCAAGTTTGGGAGAATTTTATCTGTCTCAAAAATAACGCCCACGTACTCAAAATAATGAGCAGGTGGGCGACAATACATACAAAGTTATCGGTTATAAATCTTCGGCAATTTTATCCGAGAATTCTTATTTAACCGTTAAACAAAATTAATATCATTACAACATTAAGATCTTTTTTATAGCAAATCTTTTATCACCGGCGTTAACATTAACAAAGTCAATCATTCAAAATTACACTTTTGGATCCACCTTTTAGTTAGAGTTTGAAAATTGCCATAATCATTTGCCAATACACTATTTGCTATTAAATCATTAAATTATTAAATATAGAAGATTAATATAAATTCTCCTCGAGACATTTTACTCCTAACCTAAAGTCTAAATCTAACCTTGACTTGATTACTGTCACCGTCGGCGAAAAGCCCTTTTTTTTTTTTTAATTAAATATAATATAATGTATCTACCATAATTTACTATATTATGAAGATATTGTAATTTAAATTCTAAATATAAGTTTATAAAAGAAGATTATATAATATACTTAACGGTGATTTTGTGACTTTAAAAATTCGCGTCTTCCTTGATAGTTATGATAATTAATGCAAGCACTTTTACTAAAACGCACCTATAATGTTTTACCACCTATGTTGTATTATTTTAAAAATTGGCTAATCAATTAATATGCAATACTCTAAGTAAAAATGCAAAAACCCTTCCTAAACCTTAATTCTATCACTAAATACTAACCCAACATGAAAAATTTGGGCTAAAAATTTTATATAGAAAACTTATAAACTTAGAAAAATTTATAAAAACATATAATAGGTGCAAACCCACCATAGGCGCGTTTTATAGTAAATGTAACTCACTTAAAATCCTTTTTCCCACCTCGGCCTTCTTTTCTTTCTGAGCTGTTTATAATGCTTTTTCCCTCCACTTTGCTTCGTCTATGAAATGATAAGGTTATAATATATAATACTTTAAAATACGTAAATTACAAAAAAATATACAAGCAATACACCTTTTGAATTTCTAAAAATTTGCGTTTATAGTATTTTTTGGCTTCTTCATCTGCCATTAGCTCATCAACAATTGTTTTCTTTCTCTCTTTACGTGACAATCGTGATGAATAAAACTCCGTTGGTCCTTCAATAACTGTTCCAATCTATAAATTTAGTGATAAAAAAAACAAACTTTTCAATAAAATATTATACTGGTGAACAGTGTTTAAAATTCAGCGTTCTCATTGCTCTCAAAGAACATACAATTTTTCTCAAAAAATATTTAATATAATTCAATCTAATAAACTAGTGCTCATTTTGGTTGAGTTTAGAGTCAAACCCGAGCCCAACTCGAGCAAAATCGGGTTGTATTTTGATATCTATAGATGTATTGGATAATTCAGTTATTTAAAAATTATTTTATAAAATTAATGCTACAATTATATAATTTAAATAATTTGATTCAAGCTAGTGAAAGAGTCTTAGAGTTGGGTTTAAATTAAGCTCTTTTGAGAACATAATTTTAAATTTGAGTTTTAAACACTGCTGGTGAATAGAACAATGTCCAATTATTTTATACCTGGAAATATTTTGGAAGACTTTTGGAATTGTCTTTTTTGTAAAACCGTTTCGGATCAAGTACATTTCTCATTTTTATAATTTGAAGATCTCGTTTTATCTCAGGTGTCAATTCAGGTTTTGGCATATCGAACCATCCAGGCCCTGCCGTTGCCTCTCGAAGCTATAAAAATTAAATGATTTTTGTTATTGTCCAAAAATACTAATGGTATACGTTGGATTTCGAATATTTGAATCAGTGTAACTATGACTAATTTTATAACTAACATTACAGATGGAATTCAATAACTGAATTCAATTATCCATTATAGAATTCAAATTTGTTCTTATCATCATTTTCAATTAAAAAAATAATATAATTTAATATTTACTTTTTGCCTTTCTTTTCTACTAAGTTTCTTTTTTGTTGATTCTTCTGACATCACAAATTTTTTAAAATGGATAACGATAACCGAGTGATAAATTTCTGAATTTATATGAAAAAATTCTATACGTGATCAAACCAATTAAATTGCGAGATCAGAAAAACTAAAAGATTTCTGTAATGTGCGTGTGTATCTGATCGATCGAAAAAAAATTGCACCAACCTTATCCAAACTTCGATTTTTTCACCCATTTGCGTTTGTATTCGTCTTGGATGGCAACTAGACTTACAAGTAGATTACTAAATATCAGAGACTTTAAATCAATTCTTAAGGCTGGTCCACGAGATTTCTTAAGAGGCCCAACAAATGCTAAAAACGCGATTGAAAGGATAAGGAATAAGAAAATAAAACAAGAAAGACTTTTAGCTAAACAACAAGAAAAGGGTGTTAAAACTAGAAATATAGCGCTTAGCAATTTAACACGAGGAAAAGCTGCTAGTGATCATCATGAGAAAGTAATTAATTTTCGATATTGGTATAATATTGTGTATGGTTGTAAGGAGACATCGCCATTGGCGAAAGGCGAAGCTTGGTTTCACTTTCGTTAAAAAATTTCAAAGGGCGAAATAACGAAATTGGCGAAAGGTGGTGAAATTGTATAATGTAAATTGACGCACCCCAGAATAGGACGGAGAAATGCCAAAATGCTTGGGACAATTAAATATACGACATTGTGTATAGTAATAGGCTAGCGTAGCGCTAGTAAATTTAAAGGCCTGATTTTGAAATTTCTTCCATATAAGCTACGCATATCATAAAACCATTGAATTATTACTAAAAATGACAATCTTTGACAGTAAATAATTTTGATCCACTGGTTCGTCTTGGAAGGTTTGGATCTTTGCCTTGAAAATCACCTTCCGACATTTCTGATCGGGCTAATTTGGCAAAAACAAACCCAACTATCACTTCATATTTATGTGTAAATCATCTTTTACCTTTATTGTTTCAATAATTTTATTGAATAAACTATTTAATCAATAAGGTAAAAGACGATTTACACATAAACATGAAGTGGTAGTTGGGTTTTGTTTTTGCCAAATTAGCCCGATCAGAAATGTCGGAAATGTCGGAAGGTGATTTTCAAGGTAAGACCCCATTTTACCATCAAAATGACCGTCTTGATGAGTCGATCATTCAAAACGGACCGGTGGATCAAAGTTATTCACTGTCAAAGATTTTGTCATTTTTAATAGTAATTCCAAATGTACGCGAATAAGAGATTTCTTCGAAGGTTTCATCTTTCACCAGGTCCTTTGTATGCCTTTGTCGAGTATTCAGATTCCAGGTTTCGCCATTTCATAAAGAGGCATTATTTTCTGGGCTTAGGCCTCGCCATTTACATTGATTTTGCTTAACAGTTATAATATTATTCATATTATTACATTTAATACTTTGTATCTAATTAGATAAAATCGACTCAAAAATCAAAAGACAAACCACTTTCAAAATATTTAGAGTTTTTAATAAAAAAAAATGCTTCTGAAGAATATCCGCCCATCACTCCTCGTTTGATAGAAAAACCCCAAACCTACTTTGATCACGTAAATAATCAAGATGTTTTACATCATGGGTCCAAACTAAATAGACGAGCATTTTTATTAAACATGATAAATAAACGAAATCGTCCTCCTGCATTAAATAGTGGGTCACCTTCGTTTAGTCAGAAAGAGGTTAAGAGAATTAAATCTATAGATTTAGAAATACTTTGGGAAAATGAAAATGCATTTCCGAAAGATTATGATCCAAATTGGAGAGATCGTGAAAATCTTCCGAATTGGTTGAAACATAAATATGCAATTCAAGAGAGAACAATGTTTCAGAAATGGTGTCCGAAAAAAAGCGTTTCTAGGGAGACTATGGATAAGATTCGATTGTTGTATCATCAGGTGACGTTATATATATTAAAATTTGTCCAATATTTTCTAAGGCTTCTAAAAAAAAAATTCTTTTCTAATAGTCTCCGGAAGAAAACACTCCAAAAAAATTATCTCAACAATTTAAAATTTCACCTGAATCAATTCGTCGTATCCTTCATTCAAAATTCGTTCCCACAGCTGAAATAATGACACGACAAAATCAAAAAAAATTAGAAACCCTTTTAAAATTTAAAGCTGAAACGAAGGCTAAATGGAAAGAAGAAAAGAAATTGATGAAGCTGAAAAAGAAAAAACGGTCAAAAGATATTTTTCTCACAATTGAAAAACCTAAACAAAAAAGAGATAGGTTTTTAAAGGTGTTGAAAGCTGTTCATAAAGGTAGAATTATAATAAGATCTTTTAATAAAATTTTATACACATGATTATTAATATTAATTTTTTTCGACTAACAGTTTCAAATATGTAATAAAGTAATCTTTAGCAATATACGGTAATTTATATCAAAATATTATAAAATATTAAGCTTTTTTTTAAAAAAATCAATAAAATTTATGTTTAAAATTAAATATATAGTACAGTGCACGAATCTTTAATCAACAAATAAAATACATATTTTTAATAAAAAATTAAAATAGTTATAAACCAAATCTTTTTATAGAATAGTAAAATCAAATCTAAAGAATAAAACTATGAAGTTTATTTTTTAAATTAAATTAAAATTTGGTCGTCTTAATTTTGGCCAAAATTACTAATAAATTTTTTAATTCTGCCCAAATTTATTAATAAATTTTGGGAATTGATATTTCCACACCCCTTTTTGATAATTTTTTATACAATTAATTGAAGATATCTTAGCACCCACCTGACCAACTTTTTTTTTATTTTAATTGTAAAAAGCTGTAGAATTCAAAGAAAAAAAAAGCCCATCTAATTTGGTTAGGTGGGTGTCAATATATTTTTAATCAAAGTTTTGTAAAATTCTAAACAATCTTATAATTACTACTATATCTAGCAACTTGTATACAATTACAATTTAACTAAAAATCTTGCTACGTAGTTATTTTTTTTTTATTGGTAAAGCAAACGTTTCTTATATTTACAAATTTGAATATAACTCAAGATGAATATATTTGGAATTAATCATACTTGCATTGAGACACATGATTTTCGCCAATAACGATAAATTTAGAAATTGCTACCAACGCGGTAATTTATAAAACTTGGCGGTAACGGTAAGTTACCAAAATGAGTCACAAATAAGCTACCGTTACCTATGAAGTATGTACGTACGCACGAACATGCTTTATTTCGAAAGCTTTTTATGTTCGTTAATTGTCTACCATCCTTAAATTTCCAATAATGACTGAATTTTTAGTAATGGTTACCACAGTAATCTATCACAGTAGTTTACTAAAAATATACAATTATAATAACTGGTAACCAATCATGCTATTGCCGCAAGAATGTTAGCTCATAACAGAATTAATTACAGCACTAATTATATTTTCCTTTTTCGTACTGTATCTCCAAAAGAAGAAAAATATAAAATACACAAGATTCAAAATTTTGAGAATGTTCCTATAGTTTATATTATCTTATTTATACAACTGTACTTTTTTAACAATAAAAGATGTATACAGCTACCAGTTATTTTATTTAGTTTTTTTTTAATATATATTGCGTCCGGATTTCACTATAAAATAATCAAATTATTGGAAATTATAAATAAAATATGATGGGCAAAATGCAAATTACGAAACATAACATATTGATTACCTAAATTTCTTATAAAATAAACATATATACATTAATAAATTTAAAATTCATATTAAAATAATGACACAGAAATTGTCAAATAATTGTTCATAACTGTTTAAAAATAAAATAAAATATCAATTCTGAAATAATTATGTATGTTCTATCAACTTGTAATAAAATGCTATGATCTTTGATGTAGCCCAGCGGCTTTATTGTAATAAGGCCACCATCCCACAAATTAAAAAGCAAAATATACAAAATATATCATATTACAAAAATAAAATATAAATCAAAATACATTAATTTCAACCATAAATCATCATAGGATGCCACTGTCTCTTAAAGCATTTTGCAAGATCGTTTCTTTTACAGCGGAGAAAACAAGCCTGAAGAATGGAATGATGTGTTAGCAATGTGTATAAATACTCTATATTATTATAATTATGGTGGCTGAAGCTAAAATTACTTAAGGCAGATATTTGCACAATTTTAATAAACTTTTTTAGGGATGAATTTGCCTCTTTAAGGTCAGGGATAGAATTTAGGGTTAAAATCAAAGAGTATAAATTGTTGGCTTAATCGAGCCCACATTTCAGCTTCAGCCTCCGCAATAATTATTGTATATACCGAGAAATAAGCACTCACTACATCATATATGCATATATATCGGCATGTTATAAGTGGGAGCAGGATTTAAATGGATTTGGAAATTCTAGTTAAACTAATGTTTTGGGATATAATTTATTATATATAACCATACCCAATCTTTCATTAGTTAGAAAAATCCGCTTAAATTCCGGTTCAACTTACAACATATATATATCAAAAAACATTAACAGAAACAATTCAGCAAAGATTTCATTGCTTATTATCACTGCTCTGATATTATAAAAAATGGTTCGAGTGATAGTGGTTATTTCGGTATAATAAGTATAACAATTTTAATTAATATTAACCGTATCTAAAATCAACAGAAACAATACTAGTTAATATACTAGTAGGATTTAGCAGAGTATTTAAAAGCAATGCCCGTAGTACTTACGTTCGATGTATCAGTCGCTTGTGTGATGCTATAATAGGTAGAGTAAATACAGAGTTTGTATAAACGAAATGCTAATAAAAATTTAACCTTTTATACTTACTGTGGATATATATTAAGTCTGGCCCGGTTGGTTTGGGTAAATCTCCATAATATGTACTTTGCAGCTTTATTAACGTCAGGACCTCCTAATTTTTATTATTAACAAAATTAATGAAAATATTCATGCCAAATTTTACACGCATTAATGAAGTACCTAAATATTCAGGGAAATAATCATTGAGAGGTACTCTGGGTACTTTGATTTTGAATAAATCAATTTTGTTGAGAAACAAAATGATAGATGTTCGCAAAAACCACCGACTATTAATTACTGATTCAAATAGTATAAGGCTTTCTTTCATTCGATTCTGTAATTGTGTATGCGTTAGTTCTTGGAAATTCAAAAACAGAGACTGAAGTATAAAATACCTGACTGCCTTCTTCTAAAAGAACTTGGTCATATTCGCTGAGAGCGACGCAAAAAATAATGGAGGTCACAGCTTCGAAACAATGAATCCATTTTTTTCGTTCTGATCTTTGACCTCCTACATCAAACATACTATTTGTAGGTTTGGATAATGAATTATAAAAAATGATAGAAAATAAATAGGATTATAAGTATAGAACATAATTTTGTAATAAAAGTCACATACTGTATGCTTAGTTGACCCGCATTAAATCTTGTTTCGGATATCCCCGTAGTTTTGGTTCGTGCCCTAAGGACGTCGTCTACATTCGGAATGTAACCCTGAGTCCCGATTCGCCTTACCTCATCAAAAAAGCTAAAAAATAGAAAAGTTGATAAATCTCCATGATATTTGGCCAATTAAGTACACTTACTAAGGTGCGGAATCCATCAGATAGAAGTTGTACTGGTTATTTTCAAAAAGTTCCTTTGTCATCGGATCATGCCATACAGAAACGATCGCTTCAACTATCTCTGGATTTAATTGAAAAGTAGGGTCAGATCCTACACAATATTCCATGATTGTATCAAAATAAACCTATAAATTTAATGCAAACGATGAATTAACTGTTAACACTCTTATTGGCATCAATTTTTACTTTATTAAATGGTTATAATAAATACGTACTCTGTTTATTGTCTTCTTAGGTTCTAATCGAAATTTTCTAATAGCGGTAACAACTGTCTGTGCTGATTCAATGAGATTTTTATAAACTACTATCCGATAAGGTAATAGCTCTTCTTTGGAATAACCATTCTGATGTATTATTTTCATCTGCTTGACTATCGTCGATTTTCCAGATTCACCTGACCCTGAAAAATGGCAATTATGCAATTAATTTCTAGAGCTCGCCTGACAAAAAAAAAAAAACTGATAAGGATAAATTAATCAACGGGTTATAGCAACCCTTTCATTTTTCTTGCAAGTAGTTTATGCTAAATGTGATTGGCAGGCAGCACTTTTGCTTGAAATTTTGGAAACACGTAAATAATAATTGATGAATATTATACCTAGCAGAAGAATTTTACATTCTTTTTTGTATTTTCGGCTGTCTTCTTCAATCTGCTTATCAATTTGATGACTCCGTAATCGCGATTCTTTTTCTTCTGCAGATAAGCATAAGCCCATGTATACAGTTTTATATAAAATGAGTGTATTGTTACTTATATTTATTCTCGTTATTGAAATTTGTGTTTATTTAAGTATCGAAACAATTCGTACGAACGGCAACTCAGGCTAACTCCATTAATTCCCATCATTACCGAATCATGTGCACATCTGTGATACCAGAATTAGAGTTGATTCACTTTTATTATTTATTGGCTATTTTTTTTTATAGAGAAACATCAATTTTATACGTATTTAAAGTTAAAGAGTTTTTTAAAATATATACACAATTGGGTTTTTTAAAAAGAATATTTTAAAAGAATACTACGTATAGATATATAATTGATTAATTGATTAATGTCAAGATTACTAATAGCTACATACTTACTGTACATTGTATATTGACATGTTTATTTCATAATAATAATTTTGAAATATTTGTTATTTAAATATATATATTATACTGTATACTATCAAATTTTGTAATGGTTTATTCAGTTTTAAGTATATTTATACGTATCTTAATGTTAATAATAAATTTAAAGATATTCATATTTATATACGTATACGTATTGTGATTTACATTAAAATACAGGACTGTATTCTATATTTATTTATGTTTTCGATCTTATTTTTTGGCAGGCCATTCAGATTCTACTTTATTAAATCCGAATTGAATCCGCATTAGATTATATATAGTATAAGACTAACTTTTGAGCACATTCTTAGGTTCGTTATTTAAGTTCTTCTATCAATCCGAGTAAAAATTATTTATACTGTATATCAAATAATTATTATTTTTATCAAATTATACTGTATATAGTATACTGTACAGTAGTGCTGTTAATTGAAAGACAACTGGAACTCCACTGTTAATAGTACTACTAGAACTTTATTATTACAAATTTCCACTGGAAGGCTGAGAATTTCCACTGGAAGCAAAAATTAACAACACTGGTATATAGTATATATATACTGTAGTAAAATAATATAATCTTGATTTTTAATTATATTAATGAATAGAAGCTCACCCTTTGTACTACTGGTACCGTATATTTCCGAAAATAAGCTACCCCCTCACTTTTGAGCAAAAAACATAAAATCTTCTCTTATCTGAAAATAAGCTATCCCCAAATTTTTTAATAGTTGTTATATATAAAAGTAAAAATTGTACTAAGTAAATCTAATGTTTATCAAATAATAAAAGTTGTTCAGAATATAAAAATACACATATAGAAGTGAGTCAGTAGAAACACACTATATTTTTCTAAGTAAATTTTTTTGAAACTTTAAACAAGAATAATTCAACAACAACTTAATTAATTCAATAAAAATTTTTTAAACTAATTCAAAAAATTTGTAAAATTTATTTAAAAAAAATTTTACTTGTTTTGGTGGGTCACACTGAATAAATACTTGGTGAGTCTTTTTTAGATTAGAGCAACACACTATAAAGACAATTTATACATGTATAATAGTCAAATAG